GTAACCGAATTTCAAAAACCAAACATGAAATGATATCAGAATTTAACGTAGCATCTGAATATGTAATGATATACAGGGCGTTCTATTTTAAAAAATGGAATTTTGGTCTGTAGCACCTACACCAAACACCCTGTTTATTTAAAAATTATATCAAAATATAGCTCTCATGAACTCCTAAAACTTTTGTATGAAACATTTTTGTGTATCTCCTTCAACAAACCAGATATTGCCTGTCACATAAAATGTGGGACACCCGGTATTCATGAGTTATAATAAATAATCGTTTGATGCGGTGGATATTTCGAGTATCTACTTTAAATGATAAGTCTATATTTTTAAATAGTTGATAATTAACCAATTGATCATTTTATTATTAGAAAACGAATGTTCATATATTTTTTTCAATATGGTAATAAACGTTTCCTTTTGACTAATCAATGTATCTTATATGTCTAATGGTTTAAAAAATAGAAATATTGATACGAAGAAACTACGTTCCGAGACCTGAAGAAGAATTTAATTGAATTCGAAACGTTGGCAGGAAAACAACTGTATTTTTAGGAAAACATTGATTCTGTTACCCAACCAAGCTTTCCTCAGGTTTTCAGGTATGTTTTAATTCTTCCTCTGTGTTTATTACTTACCAAACTCTGATTTGGGCTCGTTCATAGATTTTAGAACGATTTCATCTAGTTCTGGATCAATATTTGGAGCTGATGATGTATGTACATAACTCTCGCTAGCTTTTTTTGTCTGATATGCAGACACCCTGTATAGAGTCAATCTATATCGGTACACCGGTTTATTCAGTGTTTTACCTTTTATATACATCTTCAATGGAAGGAAAAAATCTGGCACCATTTATTGAATTTGAATGAATTCTCACGAAACGAAAAAGAATATATTTATTGAAATAAGTAATCCTAATACACAATATTATATAAAACATATTAGTAACAATATATAGAAATTGAAAATTATCATAAAAAACCTAAAATGTAGATATAGTTCAGGATTGAAAATAAAAATTTTAGTTTGAAAAATAACGTATAATGTATTAAAAATACATTGCAATATATGTGCAGTTCCAATACAATGATAAATAGAAGAAAACACAAATACTACATTTATTAATATAATCTTAACAAGTATTATTCTGTCCAGCATTATGGATGGATTTCAAGAATTGTTTTTTAAAAATCCTAATGATGGACTAGATTTAATTATATTTGGTAATTTATTATATGTGTCAAACCTTTTGAGAAATAAAAAATTCATGGTACTTCTTTTATTTGTTCTGCATAAATGCAAATTAGTATGATTTCTTGTGGAATATTTGTGCATTTTCGAATTTAAACTAACAAATTCAGAAAAATATGAGGGTGATAAGTTATTCAGAATTCATTGTTGAGTAATACAACCGTAAAGAAACTGGTAGCCACCGCAAAGTTTGTAACATGATTCCGATTTCAGTGAATTTATTTACCTTTAGAACAATCCGCTTACCGCGATTGTGAAGTGTTTTTAATTGAGATGTTTGATTAAGATTGAACAAAAAAATAATAGAAGCACAGTAATCAAAATGTGGTTGGATAATTGCATTGAATACAGTAATTTTTGACTAAGTGCAAAGAGATATAGTCTTTCAGTTATTTTTTTTTACATACATAATCGAGGTGATTGCCAAAAAGTAATAAATTATCTAACTGGAATCCAAGATATTTGTAATGACACAACTTCTATGTTTTCATTATCGGTTTGTGGATTTATTCAATTTAAATCAAGGTTGTTCCATTTATATTTTGTCATAATCATTCCTTAAGTTTTCATTTTATTCAGTTTCAATTCATTTGTCCTGAGGTACTCATTTACATCCTTCAATGCGGGATTCATTTTATCAATAGCTTTATCTAAGTTTGTATGGCAGCATGACAATAGTGTATCATCTGCAAATGAATTTACAAAATCAACATTCATAAACAAGTTTATGTCATTCAAGTATAAGATAAAAAGCAGAGGTCCTAAAACGCTACCCTGCGGCACACCTATATGTATATCCAATTCCCGAGAGATATAATCTTAAACTCTGATTTGTCGCTTTATATGGGATGAATAGTCAGATAACCATTGGTAAAAGTCACTATCATTGCCATAACTTCTTAATTGTTTCAAAAGTCGTCTTCAGATCAAAGAAAACAGCTACTACAAATTTATTGTTATCAACTTATTTTTGGAATCTAGATAAGGCGAGTTGTAATGCGGATTCTCATAAATATTTTTCATGAAATCCAGATTGATTGTTTATTAAATTTTTTTTTCCAACATGATCAAATATCTGCTTATAAACAGCTAGTTCAAGAATTTTTTCTATCGGTGGCAATGTATTTATAGGTCTATATTCACTGGCCTTGATTTTATTGCTTACCTTTCGAAGGATTTGGAATTGTAGAAGTTTGAAGAGAAGTATTTACAAAGTTTAAAATTATACGTCCACATGTTTCAAAAATGACTTTGACATTTTGGAATTCAAGATCTCATGAACATTGTTTTTGTTGTCTAAGGAGTTAACAATTAGACGTAATTCATTCATTGTTAATATGTATCACTTGGAGAAATTAGGATGTAGATTAAAATTAATGAATTTACAATCTTCAACATTACCTATAGTTTCAACAATTTGCTGAATGAAGTAGTAGTTAAATTCGTTAACTATTTTAGTTTCATTATTAACTATACAGGGTGATTCAAAAGTACTTTGACAAACTTCAGGAGGTGATTCCTCACAATATTCTAATATGAATTGTCCAAATAAATAAATGTCCGGAAACGCTTCGTTTCCAAGATACAGGATGTTGAAGTTTTATTTTCGTTTTTTTCAAATAACTTTCGAAATACTGAACTTAATTAAACGAAACTTGGTAATGGGAGGTTTTGAGGTGTCGAATTCAAACCTGATGTTCTTATTGCTCTTACTCGTAGGGGGCGCCACCTACACGTGTTTTTCTTTTTTAAAGATTCATAACTTTTTTGGGCGTACTTCTAGCATATTTTTCAGTAAAAAAATCGATTCCTCTATCATATCTACGTAAATAAGCTNGTGGCGCCCCCTACGAGTAAGAGCAATAAGAACATCAGGTTCGAATTCGACACCTCAAAAACCTCCTATTACCAAGTTTCGTTCAATTAAGTTCAGTATTTCAAAAGTTATTTGAAAAAACCAAAATGAAAATTAAACTTCAACATCCTGTATCTTGGAAACGAATCGTTTCCGGACATTTATTTATTCAGACAATTCATATTAGAATATTGTGAGGAATCTTCTCCTGAAGTTTGTCAAAGTACTTTTGGTTTGTTAAGTTAAATGCTTTACAGCTAGGAGAGTTTTGGCAATTCAAGTTTATAAGCTTTTTTAATGTTTTCCACATCAGTAGAGAGTTATTTCTATACATACCTACTCTATTGAAGAAGTATTGTTTTTTTTCTTTTTTAATAAATTTACTATTTCATTTCTCTGTTTCCTGAATTCTTTCCATCTGACATTTCTATTCACTTCAATAGTTTTAATAAAATCCTTGTATATCTGATCAACGTTGTTTTATTTTATTATGAATTTCGTTGTCAAACCACGATATATTACTTTTATAGTGACAGACTTGAATTGCTGCAACTTTATTGATAACTGATTGACAGTTATTGTGTAAATCGACACCAGAATTTTTTGAATTCAAATCCCAAACACATGAAATTAAATCAAGTTTAATTTTATCAAAATTTCGCTCACCAAGATTAACGGAAATACACATCAACTTTCTGTCAGATGATGTTTTCTAATAATAAACCGTGAAGAAAAAATTTAAATTCTCAATAATAATTGGTAGCGTTCCATACTTTAATGCTATATTGACAAATGTTATTATTAAATTCTCGAGTAATAACCACAAGTGTGTACACGTTAGATAATTCGGAAAAAGTGAAACGATTAGTTAACTGTCATGACTGAAAATATTTCATTACCTACTACAGTAGCAAATCACAATAATACATCCAATCAGCTCTCACTGAACCTAAATTGAACCTTTTAATAAACATTTTAAGGATATCGAGGATTTTCGTGCGAACCACTTGGTTTACTTATCTCATTTCTTGATGATCACTTCACGAGTTAGACTAACGGCCTATTAAGCCAGTTTTATGGACCCATTAGACGTAATTGATGTGTCGTTTTCCAGATAACCTTGGCTCATTATTTGTTCTTTTCTCATTCTTTGTTTTGGAGTTGATTTCTATAGATTCGTGAAAGCAGGGGCGGATTCAGATATATATGCAGGAATCAGTATGTGACTAAATACATTCGCGACAATATGCAGCTGAACACTTCAACAATTTACGTCATCACCAATACACTCCAGAATTATACCGACATCAAAGTCACTTACTCTTCAGGACTTTGCTGTATTTAGTTAGGGGCCATTGCTATTGATCCCATATAAGCGATTTCCTAGCACATTCGAAGGTTTGTTGTCTCACTCGTGTTTGATCTTCAGACCACCGTTAAATATTTCTTGATCTTCGATTTCTGGCTGACGGTACAAACATTTTCATGGTAC